GTGGGAGAACGTGGAGAAGATACTCAAGGCCACATGCTATGCTGGGCAAGTCTGCCCCTAAATCCTAAATCCTAAACCCTAAACCCTAAACCCTAAATCCTAAACCCTAAACCCTAAACCCTAAGCTCCTGTTCCGAGGCCCAGCTGGGAAAGCCCAAGACGCAAGAGAAAGCGGTGGAGCGCTTCATCACCGGCCTCTCCGAAGAGATGGTGGACTATTTCCGCAAAGAGCTCTACAAGCGCTTTTTCCAGAATGCACCTTCAGGCCTTTGGGGGGGGGAGGGGGGGGAGAGGTGCAACAAGCGACGCCCTAAAAGGGTCCACAGAACTCTCAACGCACCACAGCTGGGTTCTATTGTTGCCCGGCTGCGAACCTAAACCCTAAAGGATGTAGGAGAGTTTCAGGGGCCCTACTTGAAACGGTGCAGCTCGTGGCACACGGAACTGTGTGGTTCACTCAATCAAGAATCTTCGTCTCGGGGTCCTACCCCAAAGCCAGGAATCCCTAAACCCTAAAACCCTAAAAGCCAAAAACCCTAAACCCCAAACCCTAAACCCGACACCTTAAATATTACATCTCAACTCTAGCTACCGGGGCGCACAGGCCAAGATCACTTCAAGCAGTCCACAACGCGGCTGTACTTCTTGGCTGACCGCATGGTGGAGATCTCAAACTGTGTGTGATTCTTTCGGGTTTAGGGTTTAGGGTTTAGGGTTTAGGGTTTAGGTGAAATCTGAGCCGCATGGCCAGAGCCCAATCCGCTGAAGCGCGAGCTTGATGATGATGATGATGATGATGATGATGATGATGATGATGATGATGATGATGATGATGATGATGATCGCCGCTGTAAATAATACGAGCATGACAAGTATGACCTTTGTCGTTGTCATTGTCATAGTGTCTGTCATTGTAGCTGTTGCTATTGCTGTTCGTATTACGGTTGATATGCATGCATATACATATATATATATATATATTAAATACACGAAGTACACATATATGTATATATACACATACATACATACAGGTTTTGTTGATTGCATGTGCGGTGTTGCTGTTATTCCCCACCCTCGGTGTGGGGTTGTTAGGTGTTAAACTCACCGGTCGCCCGGTCTACTCCTCGCTCATCCCTGGAGTGCCCAACCCCAAAGTGTCCCTGGAGTGCCCAACTATAGAGTGTAAGTGGAGTGAACAACCTCAGAGAGTCTCCCTAAAGTGCCCAACCCCAGAGTGTCCGGAGTGCCCAGCCCCAGAGTCTCCCTGGAGTGCCCAACCCCAGAGTCTCCCCGGAGTGCCCAACCCCACAGAGTGTCCCCGGAGTGCCCAGCCCCAGAGTGTACCTGGAGTTCTCCCCACCCTCGGTAGGGGTTTGTTAGACATTAAGTTAACCAGCCATTCTTCTCGCCTCCTCGGCCGGTGTCCCCCGCGGCCTCCTGGCATGGTCCCTGACAGAAGCGCAGCGAGAGTCCCGCCGACTACCCCTAACGTGCACCCCACTGAAGAGTATCAGTCCCGCCGAGTATTTCTGGAGCCCACCCCAGAGGATGCCGCAGAAGGTCTCCTGTAGGGAACACTGCAAGAAGCCCGTGCGAAGTGTCCCGAAAAAGGGATGGCGCTCACATCGGTTCACTGTAGGGTGGGGATGATCGAAGTAAACAATTTCACTTTGGGAGGTTCCCCCTTATACTAACAGGCCTTCATAGGGATTACAATAGGGGGTATTATAAACCCAATTAAGGATTGCTAGCATAAGGGGGAACATCCCAAGTCTCACTGTTGCAAATGTGTTATTATTGTTATTTGTGGTGCTACTGTCGGTGGTACTGTTGTTGCTGTTGTTGCTGTTGTTACTGTCGTTACTGTTGTTATCGTTGTTGTTATTATTTCGTTGCCATGATTGTCATCAATGTTGCCATTGGCATTTTTCATGTTATGACTCTTTATAATGTTTCATCTTGCCATTCACCATGGTCACCATTATTGTCGTGGTTATCTGTATCAATGCCGTCTTGATTTCGACTATTGCGATTGTTACGACCATCATTGCAATTATGAGTATCTCCGTCTCTTTGTCGTTCAATATTGTCACCAGTATTCTATTGTTTCTAATGGCATCGTTGTTGCACATATTTACATTCCGGATCATTGTGTCTTTTTATTGTTTGCAGTGGTCCGTATACACCTGAAGCACTCAGGTGGAAACTACGATGGACATGTTCCGCAACCCCCGGAAGATGGTGCAGGAGAGGGGAGAGGTCTTGCAGTCCTTCCCGAGAAGTTGCGGGGCCGTTTTGCCGGCCTTCGAGTGTTTGTTGGGTCAAGCCTCTTCCGTTGCTTTGTTTGGTGTTCTTGAACGCCTTAGGAACCTTTGTTGACCTGTTTAGTGTGTCTTTTGGCTGGCTTTTGGGTGTCTTTTGCGAGCTTTTGAGGCCTCCGGGCTCCCGAAAAAAAAATGTCCCGTGTGTAGACCCTAGGACTATGGGCCCTAAACAGAGTAAAACGTCGAGTTGCCTCCTCAACTCCAGTCTCCGACTCCGCCTTTGCAGGAAATCTCTGGCCTGGGCTTGCGCCACGTCGGCTATGGCATCCCAACAGAGCTCTTCGGACCGTGCCTCGAACGCAAGGGGTACTAATCACTTCCCCGAGCCGTGGCTCCAAAATGAGCTGTTGTTGGATCCCGTTGGCTGAGGTATGTGTCGGCCGGGGTGGATGTTGTTCGCACCATGACGACTGATGAGAATGCCCTGTCTGGCTTCCGATGGTCCTTGACCTTGGTGTCCAAGATCTTGGTGCGAGCAGTGAGTGAGGGTGCAACCCTTGTCATGCGAGCCATCAACACCAACCAGGCAGCTGTTTTGTGAAGCGTTTTCTTAGATCTCAGAAAAAGGCCAAAGCGGCACCCAAAACCCGCAGGAGCTGGCCCTGAAGAAGGCCATCTCCATTGCTCCGCGGGGACAGCGAGCGACTGAGCTCCTGAACATCTCTGTAGGCTGGGGGACGCTTCTTTGTGTCTGCTCATGCCTTCTTCCTTTCTTGCTGCTTTTTTTTGGCAGGCACTCAGTCCATTTCCCCGCTGTTTTGGGCCATCGAAAGTGGTGCTCTGAACAGTGCACGGGCAATGCTTGTGGACTTGCTGACCATTCGCGCAGATCGGGACGTCTACTACTATGGCTATGATGACCTCTTCACGCGGCATCCAGACATCATCCAGCGCTTGTGCAAAGATGCGCCAACGTTGCTGTGGACTCTGCTGGATGGCCTAATCTGGCGATCTCGACTCACCTACCAGGGTCAACGCCGTGTGAACTACTATGTCAAGCACTTGGTGGTTGACCTGGAGGGCAACAGCAACCAGACTCTTCAGTGGCTGGCCGATCACAAAGACCCGAAGATAATTGTTCACCCAGTTGTGGTGCTGTTTGCGGATCTGATCTGGAATCGTCTTGCCATGTACCACTTCTTGCTGGGAAGATGCTACTTCCTCTTTGCATTATGTGTTTTCATTACAAGCCAAGCGCTGCTCTTCCGCCATGATGGCACGGAGACGCTTGAGGAGAACATCGCGCGGTTTGTTTGCCGGTGCTTCCTCTACTTCGGGAGCTTGACGAAGCTGTTCTACAACCAGTGCAAGCTCTTCTACACCGACATGAAGACGAGAAATATCGTGTGGTTCCATTCATGCCCCATTCCTAGATACATGACGAGTCCTCAGCACGCAGGGAACATGTTGCTGGTGATGTTGCTGATTTTGATGTACGTGGAGGAGCCCATCCTGTGGTGCGGGGTCTTCACCACTGATAATCCCATGGGGCTCTTGTTCACCAACAACTGCCAGGCCTCTGAATCCATCAAAGACATCTACTCCATCTTTTCATGCTTTGCAATGCTCTTGTACTGGGTTCTTCTCATGGACTTCACGCTCTTCTCCATGCGCATTTCTGCCTTCGTGCTGGTCTGCGGGCATGTGCTGGCTGACGTCGGCCTGTTTGTGCTCGCCATCGTGTTCTTGGTCTTGGCATTCGCAACGGCCATCAGTTCGTTGAATCACGAGCTGGCAAACTTCGCTGGCATTGACTCTTGGTTGGCCAGTCTAGTGCAGATGACATTGGGGATGTTCCCTGCGAGAAGCTTTGAAGACTTCCAGACAGAGATAGCTGTGCTCACAGCCGTTTCCGTCTTCGTGGCGGTCGTCAGCATCTTCCTCCTCAACCTCCTCATCGCCCAGCTTAATCAGTCGTATCACGATGTCTTTGAAGACATGCAAGGTTTTGCGCGGCTGAACCGAGCTGGTGTCATCGCCGCCACGCTGGAACAGGTTCCCAGGAAGAACTGGATCAAGTTCCGGGAAGGCCTTCAGTTCGATGAGCGCCTGGAGTTCAACGAGGGGGACGTGGGCCTGGCAGGTGGGATCCAAGTACTGGAGCCCGCGAACGCCAACCCGCTCACGGAGGATACCATCCGCCGCTTTGGAGGCTCCACAGCCCCGACCATGCCTTGGCCACAAGAGCACACGGAGGCCGTGGGATGCAACAAACACTCCGCACCATCCTGAACCCCCAGCCTCCCCACCTCCCCACCCCCCCCCCCCCCCCCCCAAAACATGAGGAAAAAAGGGCGGATGGATGGTTGGATAGATGCATCGCTGTGTTTGGTAGAGCACCGGTGCGTAGCGCGATCCTGCTCCCAGGACGCCCAGGAGGAGGACAAGTTCGAGCGCCTTGAGAAGCTGGTGCTGCGCGCCACCAAGAAGAAGAAGCGGGCGGGCGGCAGTGAAGCCTCCAGCACCTCGGCTGAGAGGGTCTTCCAGTCGGCGTAGGACTCATAGGGTAATAGGAAGATCGAAGCCACCTGTGAGGTTAGGGTATAGAGTAGTTTCATAGAGAGTCGAATGTTCTTGGCTCTTGGTTGAGATTCCCTTCGCCCAGGTGCCGGAGACTCCAGTTCTCAGGCTGGCCACTCCGAATCGAGTTCCAAAAACTCAGCGAACAGTTCGTAAAGAGGTTTCACTCTGCGAGCAGTTCTCAACGAGCCTCAATTTTCACAAGTTTCACCGTTCCAAAGCCGATCTTTTGCGCCCAAGGCGCCTGCATCTGCTCGCGTCGACGAGCGAAATTCGCCAGGGTGCCAACAGCCCGCGGATCCAGGGAAAAGCCTTCCGGTGTGTCCTCGGAAGGTGGAAGGTCTCTTCAGTTCCCACCTAGGGACGCTCGTCATGCGTAAGTGAAAAGCCGGTCACGTCTCCCACATTCTTATGATCTTTCTTGCCGTTGGTACCCTTGGAGTGCTGCGAACTGAAGGCCAGGTACTAAGCCAGCCGCTGCAGTACTCGGCAAACCTCCCATCCATGGCCGGAGCCCCAAGAGCCGATGGCCGAAGTTGCGGTAAGGTGTTGCATGTCACTTTCCATGTGTCCGTTGCCGAGCCTCAAACCCTAAGCGCTCGCAACCGAAGCGCAGCCGCCCGTGCGTTGCCACGCGGGGACCGAGGTCGAAGGCTTCCGAGTCGTCGACCAGGCCAGAGAGGAGGGTATGGTTTCGCAGTCAGAAAACGTTCGCTTCTCTGGGTGCCCGAATAGATACCGCAAATACTGGCATGCTGCGCGTTCCTTATTATGTGGCCGTATATGTAGAACTTCCGCTCCAGAAGATTCTTGTATGTAACCTACCCCTTGCCTGGCGTTAAGACATTTGAATGGGTTTATGGCTCTCCATGCACAAGGAAGATGTCTAGACCCTCGCGTAACGCGAGGCCCGTCCCGTTCTCAACGAGGAGGGCGTCCAGGCGTGCCCGAAGCGGTTGTCTTGCATCATTCGGATTGGCCTGTTCCAACGTCGGGCCCACCCTGGGATGCCCTGGCCCCCCTTCCTGGGACCCCCGCCAAATGGCATACCATGGCACACCTTTCTGTGAACAGCCCTTGCAAGCGTGCCAAAGGCAGCTTGCTAACTGAAAGCAGCCCGATAGTTGCGGAGCTCGGCCACTGGGCTTGTGCAGGTCGGCATGCTGAGACTCCTCGTCTTCCTGGAGGCCGGTGGAAAGGGTTTAGGGCCTATAAGGATGGTGGAGGTTGATGTATCGATGTATTTCGCCATTGCTAGAGAGCAGTGCTTGGATGCTTGCTGCGCCACGAGCAGTGCCAGCGCGGCCCGAGCCAGGTGTCGGCAAAATCACTCAAATCGGCCTCACCCTAAACCCTGAACCCTAAAGCCTAAAGCCTCCAAGGACCCCTCTCAAAACCCGCAAAACCCTCGGACAGTCCCCCAAAAAGGGCCCCTTAGCTCTGTTGGAATCCAGCACCCTTCGAGACCTGCCCAAAAAGCCGAAGCTTGCACCGAGGACCTGGGCCAAGCCAGGGGCCGGTCGGAGGCTCCGTTTGGGGTTTTAGGTGCCAGGCGTTTCTCTTTGTTCTTGATATGTTTTTGCTTTTTTTGTTGTTAGAGGGTGTGTAGGGTTATTGTGGTTTAAGGGTTTAGGGCAGTCGAGATTTACAGGATTTGGGGCCTTTGAGGTCTCTCGGGGTACTTGTCTGAGGCCCTCGCTTTCTCAGCAAATAGGGCTTCTTTTTGGGGGGAAGTTGGGGCTTGGCCCATAGAGTTTCAGGCTTCAGGGTGTGTAGGGTGTGTGTGTGTGCATAAGACTTTCAGCCCTGAGCCCTAAACCATAAACCCGAGACACGGGGTCTGCTGCCCAACCGGCCAGTTTTGGGCCGTCTTCTTGGGAACCCTAAATGCTACAGCCCCTGTATTGTGACGGGAACACCCGAAAAAACAGCACACACATATATATATATATGGTCACCCCCCCCCCCATGATCTAGGTTTTGCTTTGTCCCTATAAAAACCCTCGTAAATACCGATTAAAATGACATGCTGGCTATGCTAGGCGATGTCCTGTTTTTGCACGTCTAGTCCTGTGCGAGAAAACATCTAAATAGTGAAAAACGCGTGTGTTTAGCACTACTTCCACATCACCACATAAAAAAACACCCAAAAAACACATGAAAATGCAATTTGGTAAACATGTCTATGAATTATTTGCATAGGACAGGCTTATAAACACAGAATTGTATGCAAAACACACTTCTTTTTTGCAGAATTTGCAAAATTTGACACAAATCCAAAAATCCAAAAATCCAAAAATTCAAAACCATGGAGCCGGGAGGCCGCCTTTTTTGGATTTTTTGGTTTTCTCGAGGTTTTTTTGGTTTTTTTTGGAAAAATCCAAAAAAAACCATGTGTTTTTTTGGATTTTACTTGCTCCTGGCCTCAAAAACCTAAAAAACACATGGTTTTTTTTGGATTTTGAGTGAAAATCCAAAAAAACCCTCGTGTTTTTTTGGATTTCAGGTGCTCCTGGTCTCAGAAACTAAAAAAACACATGGGTTTTTTTGGATTTTCACTCAAAATCCAAAAAAAACCATGTGTTTTTTAGGTTTTTGAGGCCAGGAGCAAGTAAAATCCAAAAAAACACATGGTTTTTTTGGATTTTTCCAAAAAAAACCAAAAAAACCTCGAGAAAACCAAAAAATCCAAAAAAGGCGGCCTCCCGGCTCCATGGTTTTGAATTTTTGGATTTTTGGATTTTTGGGTTTTTTTTAACAAATTTTGCAAAAAATGCTTTTCTTGTATAAAGAATGTGTATTGTTATACGTTGTTTCTGCTAATGTGACTGCCTTGCACACACACAGAGAAAAGCACACAAACACACCCACCATTCGTTTTTTTTCAATTCAGCCTATTCGGTATGCAGGGCGTGGCGTTAACATGTAAAGTTCCATTAGATTTAATTACGAATGAGGCTTAGAAGAGGATGTCTTGGGATGTGGCGTCTTAATATGAAAAGTAATAAAAAAAAGAAATAGAGAGGGTTTCTTAGGGTGTGGTTCTTTTGAGGATGTGGACCTGCAATTCAAAAGTCTAATTGGACTTAAAAAAGAGTGGGGCTTCGAAGAGGATGTCTTGGGGTGTGGCCTCTTAATTTAAACGTTTATTTAAGTGGAATCACAAAGGAAGTCCAGTTGAGGATTTCTTAGGGTGTGGTGTTTTAGTGCAAACCTCAAATTACATTTCATTACGAAGCGGGGCCAGAGGAGACTTTCACAGGGTGTGGTCGGTAAAATAAAATTCCAAAGAGGTAGTAACGAATGAGGCTTAGAAGGGCGTGGCCTCTTAATTGTTTTACTTGGTTTGGTTTTACGAACGAAGCTGTGGCTTTACCATACACAGGTCTTAGGGTGTGGCCTTTTAAATTCTGTCCAAAGGGGTGTGGCCTCTAAACTTAAAATTCAATTTAAGTGGAATTCCAAACGAGTCCAGATGAGGATTTCTTAGGGTGTGGCGTTTTAATACAAACCTCAAATAACATTGTAGTATGAAGCGAGGCCAGGGGAGAATTTCATAGGGTGTGGTCTGCAAAATAGAATTCCAAATAGGTATTAACCAATGAAGCTTAGAAGAGGATGTCTTGTGGCGGGGCCTCTTAATTTGTTTGTTTGACTTGGGTTTAATTTACTAACGAAGCTATGGCTTTATCATATACAAGTCTATTGACATTTCACTAATAGGCACCAGAAGAGGATTTCATAGGGTCTAGCGGTTAAATATGGAATTGTAAGTACATTCAAATACGAATGGGGGCTCATGATATAAATTTCTGTCCAAGAGTTACATACGAACCTAGCCTAGGTCAGAACTTCTTAGTGTGTGGGCTTCTTACCTAGAATTATAAACTTCTTACGAGATTCTGTTACGAACAGGCCCCAGAATGGTGTGGCTTCTTTTTTAATACAAGCATCTTGGCAAATCGAAAATAAGTCTAATTACAAACGAAGGTCTAATGAGGATTTCTTGGCGTGTGGCTTTGTAATACAGAATTCTAATTAATCTTCATTACAAATAGGGGCCAGAAAGGGATTTCATAGGGTATGGTCTGCAATATAGAATTCTAACTCGGTTTCATTGCGAGGAGGATGTCCTGGGGTTGGCCTCTGAATATACACTTGCTTTACTTGGGTTCAATTACGAACGAAGCCCAGAAGAGGATTTCTTAGGGTGTGGGCTTACAATATGAAATCAAATTGCGTTTCATTACGAATGGGGCCAGCGAAAGATTTCACAGTGTGTGGGAAAAACAAAAATGTTCTAAATAGGTATTAATCAATGAGGCTTAGAAGAGGATGTCTTGGGGCTGGGCCTCTTAATATGTTTTTTTACTTGGGTTTATTACGAACGAAGCTGTGGCTTTATCAGACACAAGTCTACTGAAATTTCATTAAGAGGGCCCAGAAGAGGATTTCATAGGGTGTGGCCTTTAAGTATAGAATTCTTTTCGTAGGGTGTGGGCTTCTTATGTAGAAGCATTTTCTCAATAAAATAGGAAGGAAGCCCAGATGAGGATTTCTGAGGCTGTAACCTCTGCATATAAAGCTCTTGTGAGATTTTGTTACGGACAGGCAGGCCCCAGAAGAGGATTTCATAGGGTGCGGCTTTTAATTGGCAAATTTAGATTTCTAAAAAAATTTTACTACGAATGAGGCCAGTGGCCTTTTAATTTTCATTCCGACTTAGGTTTAAATTTCGCTTCGATGGGCCCGAAAGGCCTTTCGACCTAGATCATGGGGGGGGGGGGTGAGCATATATATATATACATATGTGTGTATATATATATATATGTATATATGTATATATGTATATATGTATATATGTATATATGTATATATGTATATATGTATATATGTATATATGTATATATGTATATATGTATATATGTATATATGTACATATGTATATATGTACATATGTATATATGTATATGTATATATGTATCTATGTATATATGTAGATGTAGATGTATATGTATATGTAGATGTATATGTATACGTATATGTACATGTGTGTGTGTATGTGTATGTGTGTGTATATATATATATGGTCACACCCCCCCCATGATCCATGTGTATCCTTTTCTTGCTTGTCCTTCTGCACCTGTGCTTATTCG